CCTGTTGTAGAGAGAGAGGTGCAAGGGATTTGAACTCTAGTTGAATACAGCGACCCAACCAGACCAGGCCGCGGTTTAAGGTCCGGCTGGTCCCTCCCCAAATCTCTCACGTTCAAGGAGCAGAATCGGTTGCCTACCTACTAGGCGGACCCTCATTCATTATAGTTTTGTCCTATATTTGTTACGTCTTCTGTTATATTAATGCACTTCGCTCAGCTACCCCGTGCATAATGTTAACGCACGGGGCCCTACGTATTGAGGGTCGGGTCCAACTACTACAACTACTGTCTGTCTCTCTGACGGTGCCGACGGGGGATCGCTAATAAAATCTAGAACATTACTACTTGCACATGTTTGGCGCCGGTTATAACTTTCGTCTGCCGTGAATTTATAGCGCGATTAAAGCAGCTCTTTATCAGTTCTTTATCATGCTCCTGGAGGTTGGGCTGTACCGGTCGCCCTTGGGGGCCGAGCTCGCGCTGGCTGGCTCGATGGCGGCGGTGGTCGTGGTGGTGGCGGCCGCGTGTCCATGCCGCGCGCGCGGGTGTTTGTGCCGGATTTATGCTTTGGTAAGCTGTACCACCGCTCCAGGTGCTCTTCGCGTCGTGTGTACTCTACCGGTTAACACCGCCGCGGTATGTGTGAGTCGCAGGTATGCGCTGTAGCATCCCCCCTCCCCCTTCACCGCTTTGTCTTCCCAAAACTGCGTCTGACACAACCCCATACGAGTGTTGCTGTCCCTGTCTGGCGCCTTACGGCCGGAGGGAGCAGTAGGCAACACACCTCGCTCGGGCGCCCTTCGCGTCGCGCACGGTACTTCTGCGTGGCGCTGCAGCACGGCGGCATCTCTCTCGCCGCGGCCGGGCTTTAGTGGCAGCGCGAGAGTGCAGGGAGGGCGCCGACCTGTTCCCTCCGGCCCGGCGGTCCCGTTAGCGTGCAAGCGCTGCGCCGCACTATGCTGTAGTGCAGCGCAGCTAGCGGTAGAGGACAGGGCGGCTCCTAGCGACTGGAGCACCGCAAAGGTGTACTACACACAGTTAAAACATTACGAAGCAAAATGCCAAACCCTTCGTACCCACGAAGCTTCCAAATCCTTCGTACCTGCTACAAAGGATTTGTCATTTTTCTTCGTAAAGTTTTAAGAGTGCAGCCTACACCTAGAACATTACTACTTGCACATGTTTGGCGCCGGTTATAACTTTTGTCTGCCGCCGTCGCTGCCAAACTACCCGCCACAACATTGAACAACACATACAAAAAGAAACAGGAGGAATATAGCACTTTATCTCTCTCCTCTCTCTCCGCCGCAACTTTTTTGCTGGAGGCTGTTTGCGTGTATACTGTTAAGTTATCCTGTTGGCTCGGCTCGTGCGCGGGGCTTCCCCTCGACGAGACGAGAGGCGGCGTCGGAATGTGTCGCGGCCAAAAACGAGTAAATCTGTGGCGGCGGCGGCTTCTCCTCAGTCTTCAGGTTGGCCGAGATTGCTTCTCCAGCTCCGCTCTCCCGCGGGCGGGAGAGCCCCGGCGGTGCTTCTTTTGCCAGCTGGCGGAGCAGGAGGGAGAGCTGATGCGTAGAAAGTTGCCTACATTCAGGCGCCAAAGTCGCATTAAATGGCCGGCTATCGTCCGATTGGCATCCACTCTGTCAGTAACCCCCCCCCCCCCTCCCCTTTTTCGGACCGGCCACATAAGCATAGAGAGAAGAATCGGTCGGGAAGTCGCGCCAATGACGTCAAAACGGTCAGGGCGCGCCGGGGGGACCGGTTTTCGTCGCCAAGTGAGAGGGAAGATCGTGCACGCCCGGGGACAGGAGGCGAGCATCGACAACGTCAACGCACTCCTCCTTCCCTCCCTACTATCCCCCTTCCCTATCTCTCTCTCCGCCTTCTCCGACGCTTTTGGCGCGGCCACAGTTGCGGAGACTTGAACGCCAGAAGAGACGTGACGAAATGTCAAACACGTTACTACTTTGCATACATCAAAAAGTTGTAAAGTTTGGTGACTCTTAACTGGCGTAAACAAACACTGCCGAAGGCGCTGAACGAACATCCAGCACATTTAGTATGTGGTGATAACCTCAGCAAACCCCGCGGCGTGAGTCTCACTTTTTGTTTTTGAGGCGGAGCGCACAGAGATGAGTTGTGGAAGGTCATTGTCGCCCTCCCTGCCCGACGCTTCCCCTCTCTATCTCCGTACACTTGTTGACTCGTGACATGGCGCACCTCCCCGAACCCATTATGATATGGACCTTTCCCCGAAAGGGGTGTGGCGACGCACCGCGGCCCGGGGGGTACGATTCATTGGCGGGAATTCCCTTGGAACGCGGCCGGCCTGCGCTGCTAGCTGGCGCACACGCGCACAGCTGCTGTTTGTTTTTTTTTCAAGAAGTGTGCAAGGAGATTCCCAGTGCAGCATGAGTAGTGTGTGAGGGAGGGGTTCTGGGAGTAGGGGGGGAGGGGTCTACGGTGAGTGTGTGTGGAGCCCAGCTTCACTGCATGATTTAATACTAATTTGTACTGGCGCGCCGACACTAAAAAAACACAATAGACTCTTTAATTTGCTTCATAGAAAAGTGTGACGATGAAGGAAACCTACGCGAGGACTGCAATGAGAATTGTAGTATCTCTCTATACCAGGTGGCTGATGAACCCCGCTCACTTCTGTAGTGATGCTGTACCGCACGCACGAGTGCGGGTGGATTTGCCAACTCGCTTGGACCGTAAGGCGCTGTGGACAAGGGGCGATAGGCAAGTCCGCCCGCACTCGTGCGTGCGGTACAATATAACTACAGAAGTGAGCGCGGTAGCGCGGTTCATCAGCCACCTGCTACATCTCTTTAGGGCCCTGGGTTGGGTGAGCGCCTGGCGGGTAGGCAGCCCCGCTGTGCTCCGCTGTGCCACGGGACTGCCTACCCGTCAGGCGTCAGGCCCCTCCTCGCCGGACGGCAGGATTCGGTCAGGTCCGGGTATACTGTGTAGTGTGTAGTGAACACAGTGTTCCGCCGCACCGTGTGCAGACGGATTGTGTAATGCGGGAGGAAGGATCACACAACGGACCTCACAATCCAGTTCCAGCCCCCAAACTAGGCTCAATGATGATCCCGATCCTCTTCTTGGGCACCGCCGCCACCGCTGCCGCTCTATGGCTCCGGCTCTTTGTTTCTGCGCGGCGTTGGTGCCCGCGCGAAGTACGCTTTACATCCCCCCTCCCTCTCCTCCCCCCGGCTCGGGCGCGCCGATGCGTGCTATTTTGACTTGGCGCCGCGCCGCCGCTGCGGCTGGCGGGCGTGTAGGTCCAGTCGACGGCAGCCCGGAAGGAGGAGGAGGAGGAGGAGTGGGTGGGAAGGACGTCTCTCTTTCTCTCTCCCTCCTCCAGGGCATCTCTGAGCCGCCTCGTGCTGTCTGCTGTCTCTCCAAGGAGTGGTCCAGCTCGAGCACCCGGCCCCCAGGCAATATCACGTTGAGTACCACAACAGCAAAGCATGGCCACCGTGTGGCCACGTGGGACTCAACGTGTTATTATCCCTCGCCCTCGCCGGTCTAGTCCAGATGGACGTGCGGAGTATGCAAAAAGTCGATCGCTAGCGGCGACGAGTACGTGCGCGGTACGGGACGGTCGTGATACACGGCCTCGACGGGCAGCGCGCACTAGTGGGGTGTGACCCCGTCGGAGTAACATCCTGGACACCACGGACGACACGACACTCTCCGCGGCGATATATATACAACGCACTCTTCGAGTCGAAAATATCCGGCGCGGGGGATTTGAAAACGAGATATGAAACAATTAGCGACACAAAGAGGAAAAATAAGAAAACAGACTGAGGTGAAGTGTGTGTAGTAATGACGAGGATGATGAGGCACTGATGAAGCCGGCCCGCACAGCGTGCGTGCGTGTTGGCCGGGTGCGTGCCGTGGATGCCGAGTGCGCGGCGAGGCCGGCCCGCCCGCCCAAAGGCTAAAGTGCCGGCACGTCGCGTCGCGCCCCCGCGTCCACAAGTGATGAGCCTGATGATGAGCCACTTGTCGTGCGCGACGCGGCCGAATTTGTTTTAATTGTAACCGGGTGACGGGCGGGACTAAACGCCATGTGTGAGCAAAGAGCATCTCGTCTGTGGAAACAACATCGTTGACGTCGTCGCCGTTGCCGTCGCCGTCGTGACCGACTGGCGTCGGCGGCGTCCCGATGCTCCTTCAGGCGGAGAGTAATCTAAATGGAGCAAGGTGAGGGCGGCACGCCCCGCCCCGCCCGCGCCGGCCTGCCCTTGCATTGTGTCTCCAGAGGTGCCGCCGGACTGCGCCGGACGAGACACTCCTTCGCTCCCCCTATGAGTTTGCTAACCGCTCCCCTCTGTGTCTCGTGTTGCAGGTTGCCTGACCCCCAGCCGCCACCATGATGTTCCCCGTGCTGGCGCAGTTCAAGTTCCTGTACAAGTGGTATGTCCTCGTCATCCTGACGCTGGGCTACCTCCTGGCCGAGCTCGGCCACTTCCTGATCGGTAGGTGACACTCCCCTATAATTTACATGCATGTCCCTCCTCCCCGTCGTTACAGTCCCGGATGTGATGTGCGACGGCGGCTCTCCTTTTCTGACGGTTGTCCCCCCGGCTTTTCCAGGTGTAACGAGCAAAGCCACGTCCAGGGAGCTCGGCTACGGCGACTTTGCGTGCCAGTTTATCAATGCGACACACTACGGCGTGGGCAACCTCACCTCGTGCGACACTCTCAAGACCCAGGAGGAGTGAGTATACCCCGCGGGATGCCGACTCCTCTATCGGCGTGTCGGGCGCCACACCTTCTGGAAAACTTTTGCCATAACACGCCCTTTTTGCCCTCCGCAGGTGCGCTGACGAGTCCCACTGCGAGTGGGACCGCAACGGCCTGGGCTACGACTACCAGTGGCTGGCGGGCCCCACCTTCATCGCCGTCTACACCATCGTGGGCGTGTTCTTCGGCATCGCGGCCGACCGGTACAACCGGGTGCGCATGCTGTGCATCGCCACGCTCATCTACGCCGTCTCGGTGATCGGGACGGGCGCGGCCAAGGCCTACTGGATGCTCATCCTGATGCGCATGGTGCTGGCGGCGGGCGAGGCGGCCTGCAACCCGCTCAGCACGGGCGTGCTCTCCGACATCTTCCCGGAGAAGGACCGCGGCCTCGTCATGTCCGTCTTCAACTGGGGCATCTTCGGCGGCTACGGCCTGGCGTTCCCCGTCGGTCGCTACGTCACGCCCATGAACCTGTTCGGAGTGGTGAGTACGGTGGCCAGGGGGGCGGTCTGAGTCCCATCGCGGGCCATAGGGGATCGTCCAGAAAGTACGTTCGTTTTCCTCAGATTTACTCGGTGGATTACGGGGGCTCGGCGCCTGCGAGACTCGGGGTAGGCCACCCCGCAGTACACGCACGCGCTGCAGGCGATATGTTGCCTACCCACCAGGCGCTATAAGAGCTTGCACGGGTTTAACCGTGCAGGTTCGTAACGGCTCGTACTTTCTGGACGATCCTTTAGTCGCAGGATATAGACTTCTGTTGCTCATCTCCGGGCGTATGTCTCACTCCGTTGCCTTCCTCCTCCGCAGGGCTGGCGGGCGTGCTACTACATCACGGGCGTGGTCGCCATCGCCGTGGCCGGCCTCACGGGACTCACGCTGCGCGAGCCGGACCGCGTCGTCATCGGCGAGGAGAAGAACAAGGAGTCCGACGACTCGACCATGGACCGCAAGATGGCCGTGCTGGACGTGGAGAAGAACCACCCGGAGAAGGAGGTGGAGAGCGCGTGGAAGGTGCTGCTGGAGCCGCGCGTCGTGCTGCTGTGCCTCGCGGCCTCCGTCAGACACTGCGGTGAGTGTGGCGCGGGGAAGACCTGCTCGTCACGCTCCGGGTGCGGAGCTCTAGAGCGGTGTTGTGATTGCTGCTCCCATCTGTTACAGGTGGCATCTGCTTCGCGTACAATTGCGACCTGTACTACAACCAGTACTTCCCCGGCGTGGACCTAGGCTGGTCGCTCTTCATCGTGACGTGCCTGGTGGGCAGCATCGGAGTCATGCTTGGCGGCGTCATCTCTGACCGTTTCGTGCTGTACATGGGGGTGCGCGGTCGCCTGCTCGTGCTCGCCCTCAGCCAGTTGATTGCTACCCCATTCGCTTTTGGAAGTGTGTACTTTGACCCCCTTTGGGCCATGATCACTCTTGGCATTGCCTACCTCTTCGGTAAGTCGTCATAAGAAGAAATTTAATGAAAACATAACTTTGCAGTACAGAATTTCTTTTCAAAAAGCTAATTTTATTCTTTTGCCCTTTTTCAGCTGAGATGTGGTTTGGAATTCTCTTTGCTACTCTTGTGGAAGTGGTCCCTATGTCTGTCCGCTCAACTACTGTTGGAGTTTTCCTGTTTGTCATGAACAACATTGGAGGAAACCTTCCTGTTCTTGTTGAGCCTGTCAGCAAAACTCTGGGATACCGTGAGGCTTTGTACATATTCTACGTAGGATTCCAATTTATCAGTAAGTACCTGAAAAAAAAATTCTTATAGAGGGAAAAGTCAAGTAGGAAGAGGAACCTTTATTAATTATTTCTATTTCTCTTTTTAGGCTCTATCATGTTCTTCGGAACTATGTTCCTCATGCCAAAAAAACACAGCAAAGAAGAAATTTCCATGCAGGCGCCTCCTTCTAATGGTGTTGTCAGCTCAGTTTCAGCAAATGTTGAGTCTGTCCGATTGTAATAATTTTCAACATGCCATCAGTCAACACCAAAGAGGACCAGGATATAAGCCTGGGAAAATCGCCATATATATACAAATTTTATCTACTGACTAAAGTTAAAAATCCTGACAAAAAAATAATAACTACTTCAGAGAAATTATTGTTTTCGCTATATTTAGATTTGAAGACTAGTATTTCGACAACATTATGGTTCCACTTATTAATGGAAATTCATTCTTAAAATAGACCCACTGCGGTTTGAATTTTGCACTGCTGCCTGGACAACTAAATGTATTGTCAAAATGCCAATGTCAATTTGACTGTTATTGTAATGATAGTAAAATTATTTTTCCCCCAACTTTTCCTGGTATGAGTGACTTTATCATATTCATTTGTATTGTACCATTTTCATCCATATCTCATTACCTTTAATTGTAGGCCTAGTTGCTATTGTATGTGATTGCATACGGCATTAGATGTTCATGTCTTCAATTCATAATTTATTTTGTAGAATGGATTTATTGATGACTTATTTTCTTGCTGCCTATGATTTCTATGTAGTTACATGAAGGTACGTGTGTTTTACTTATGTCACCAATTCTGAGAAGAAATACTCGATTATTTCAAAACAATCCCTTCATGGTAAACTCATTCATGTCTGTGTGATTTAATTGCTTGCGATCAACTTTGGCCCAGCATTTGTTGAAAAAAATGTTTAAGTGAATTTCATGCTATATTGAAATTGGAATCATGAGATGCAATTATCCATGTTTAAAAATTATGAAGAATTTTGTGATAGAGCTGTAGATTGAAAGAAATGTTTGTGTTATTTATCATTATCATAATTCTTTTATAGTTATAATGTCTTATGAGCATTGTTAAGTAAGACTACATGTGATATGACATACAATGGAATACACTGCTCAGGAGTTGAGTTGGTGTCCCATGACTAGTGTTAAGACCCTATGCATTAGGTATCAAAATTAAGTTGTAAATAAAGAATTACAAATTTATGTGAGATGTTTCGGATGACGGAAAGTCTGACCTTATCCTCATACTTCTGTGAAAACGTCACAGCAGGACGTCCCTGTTTGTAGCTACAAGATTGTAGCTACAGCCGACAGTGACCGAGTCAGCTTAAACTGAACCGTCTATAGACGAATTCATTACTTCCGCCAATGCTAGAATATCAATCAGAAGTAAACAGCACTAAAAACTAAAGCGAAAACGAAATATATCAATGCCTCTCCGAAGCTCTCACCTTGTCCAAGCACTCGGGGGGTAGGGGCCGCGACGCGGGGGGCCCGATTCAGGAAAGCATTGCCTACC